TGTGGACATGTTGGACGAATTAAAGTGTTATCTCTCTGAAAATTATGAAATAAAGAATGTGGATGAAACGTGCTTGGTAATTGGAATAGAAATATTCTGGAATATATCACTAGGACTAAAAGTTTATCCCTTAAAGTTTTATTTGAGAGGTAATGGATGGTTGTTCCGTATAATTCCAATGCGTAAAAGGGACATATTTAGTTTAAATAAATGTCCGAAGGCGAAATGGAATGAAAAGTGATGGAGAAAATTCCTTAGATATAAATGATTAGGAGTCTTAAGCGAGACGAACCTGTATTTGGTTTGATAACATATTTCTTGCTGGTAAGTTAAGCAAATATAAAAGTAATCCCTAAAAGATTATTTAAATGCTGCAAATGAAATTTTAAAGTATTTACAAGGCATTAAAGAACACATGCTAACTTAAAGAATATCCAAATTATTTGTTATAATTGGATACTCGGATTCAGACTTTTGCTCATAATGTCTAAAGGAGCAAGATTATAGAAAGTGGAACAAAGTCCATCATCGTGACTTCCACGATTAAGTTTGAGTTCGTGGTATGCTTTGAGGCCACAAGTCAAAATTAGGGCTACGATGCTTTATCTTAGGACTTGGAAATGTCGACATCTTGTCCAAGCCGCTAACAATTAACGTAGATTTGTAGCAATAATATTTTAAGGAAATGACAAGTATTCAAAGAGTGTGAATCACATAAAATTTAAATAGTTGGTCGTAAAAGTAGAAGTGAAGAAACAAAGTGTCATTTGAGTATTTTAGTACTAATTTCATGAAAGTGGATCCATTAAAGGGTTATTTCCTGTAGCCTTTGCAAGGCATATAAAGAAAATTGGGATTAACGAATGGGGCCTTGTTGGACTGACCGATACTGAATGGAATTGCTCAATTAATGGTTTTGACACTTATTGAATTCGATTACAGATGTTTTATTCTTCACATATAATACCATCAATATGGATATTTGATTTATGCAAATCAGATATTTTTGGAGTGATGTTTTTTTTTATTAATATTATTATTGTTATGGTGATTTCTTGTAAAGTTAATTATTGCCCGTTTGTCGTCTTTCTGCTCAGCTACGGGTCTACTGCTTCGCTTGTGCGCCCTCTTGCGGCCTCGCACGGTTTGAGTGTCCTTGCGTGGGCGAGGTGCCCGAGATTTGGACGATCGAGCAAGCGGAAACGAACTTCTGATCCACCAGATTTATCTTTATAAACCTTGATCTAAACTTGGGTGGCAGAATTAAGGGGTATTAAACCCTTGAGACGCACCCTCCTTATATATATATATATATATATCTTGAATCCAGTGTCAGTCTTCGATTTTCACATCTGTCTTTCTTCGCTTCGAAGTTGATGGCTTATGGATATGGTACGAATAGTTTGTTCCATATTAAAGTAAAGTTGAATTAGAAATGATTTGTGGTACATGGAAGGGATCATGTCGCTCGAAGATGTGTGACCGCCATGACTCGGTTAATTTCTAGTTTGATTTTTAACTTATAGATATATGTATTCAATTATAAGTTTGATGAAAGGTGCGCGCTTAAAGTAGTTCTTTGGGTTTCAACACTTATATGGTCCAAGTGGGAGAATGTAATAATATTTTATATATTATTCAATTATTGTGGACATATAATTAGTTAGATCTAATAATTGAATTAATAGTCAAACTTTATTAAAGATGAATATGTATTTAATAGATTATTTAATGTTCTAATATTAAAGAGTCCAATGTGTGATGTTTAACTTGGACATTAAGTTACTTTAGAACATGGGGAATTGTAGTATGATTAGGATTCTAAGTCTTCTCCTCCTATATATACTACATACCCCTCTCTCCCATCTCATACGAAATAAAGTTCTAAACATCAAGGCTTTATGTAAAGACGAGAGAAGCGGGAGAGAGAAACAATTCATCATTGAAAGATGATCGTAGATCAACATGCAGATGAACAGGGAAGGACTATAGCTGGATTCTTGTAAGTTTCCTATGTGCAATTTAATTTATGCAAAGATCCATGTTCTATGAATTGATAGAATTACATGCTTAGGGTTTATTCAATTCCGTCTAATAGTTATGGATATACTCGTTAAATTTCTTAAATTAAAATGTTGAAAAATCTTCAAGAAAAATAAAATATTAAAGTCGCACACAAATACACCCTTTAATGTTATTATATTATATGAAGAAAAAAAAAAGTAGTACACCACTGATGAATAGGCGACTTAAATTAAGTTTACCATTCGTGCCATTAATAAAGTCCTATATGCAGTGATGAAGGAATAAGATTATAAAAAAAAATTAATAATAATAATAATAATAATAATAATAATAATAATAATAATAATAATAATAATAATAATAATAATAAATTAAGGCACCCGTGACTACGAGTGAATATTTCCTACTTTCCCTTTTTCACTTCAAAAGAAAATGAGTGGAATGTCTTTTTCACTTCAAAAAAAGTGAGTGGATTGTTACAATTCAGATGACTACACTATACGACACTTCTATTTCTCTACATGAAATTTTATTTTTTGTATGTCATATTAAGAGCGTGATTGGATATAAAAAATTTATTCGAAATGAAATTTTTTTAATAACGGGATTAATTTGGAAAAGTATTGTATTGTTGATTGTTAGTGAGATTTTATATTTATATTAAAATAATATTTAAAAAAAATAATTAAAATTGATTTGATTTAAAAGTATGAGATATATGATGTGAAATTATAGTTAATTAAAATTATGTGAGTGGATGAATACCGAAATAAAACTGAGTGTAATGTTTATATTGATAATAGTGACAACAATGAAATTGAGTTAAGATATAGTTAAATTTTGAGTAGAAATGAGTTTGGATTGATAATTTTTAAATCCAATTTCGACTCGATAATTTTGGAATAAGATTATTTTTGTTCACTTAATGACATTCGCTAATTTGTAACAAAAGTTCGTAGGTAGAATTTGGTTTATTTCATGACAATATGAGTACTAATATGTATATTTAAAATAACATTGGGCAACTAATTATGTTTGCAAAAGTTGGTAATTTATTAGAACTAAGTTATGTGTTCGGCATATTATGTCCAAAATCGTATTAATATAAGAGCATTACACTAGATTGGTAATGCATGAATCAGAAACAATGATCATAGAATTCATTCATTAGTGTAGCTTGGAGCTCTTGGTTAGGGATAAGGAGTATAGTCAAGAATTATACAGGGTTTTTAATGAGGCTTTATTAGTCAAACAATTTTGGAGGTTAATAACAAAATTTATTCTATTTATATTGAAAAAGAGATTGATGAAATAATCTAAAATAATAAATTTAAATTTTGTAAGTAAGTAGATTGACTTACTATTAAAGGAAACATTGTAAAAATTACTGTAATATAGGTTATTGCTTAAAATTATTGTAGCAAAGTAATGAGATTGACTTTCACCAATGCGGTTATTGTTACTAAGTGAAATGCACTTTGAAAAACAAGGCTTTTATTGCTCGAGGGATTCGTAGTTGTTTAAGTCCACGCTTGTGTGGCCAGAGACGTAATTGATATGATCGTGTATCTTTGGTTAGGCTAGGAGGGAGTCCAAACCGCATAAGACCAAACTGTATATTCATGCACAAACGATCTATCAAAATTGAGTAAGTTAATACTAGAGTTAATGAAACTAGTATTCGATATCATGTGCACATGCACAAATAAAAATAAAATTTTATACATTATATGTGTATGTTTATGTATTACATAAAACCATAAGTTATATAATGAGTATATCACATTTTATAAATTATATAATTAGTAAAAATGAACGATATAAATATAAACTATTAAACATGCACATTAGTCTTCATGTTAATGCAATTTTGATTAATTATGATCATTAGGTTAAACAATATTGAAATTATTATTATAATAGTAATTGGGAGAAAAACTAAAATGTTTGGTTAGGGCATAAAAAATAATAGACTCATATTAGTTAAAAAAAAAAAAACTTACTTAATGAGTTAAAAAAAGAATACTATTAAATAAATAGTTTGAAAAAGATTTAGAATAGAATAACATTTAATGAAACTTTATGATTGGTTAATAGTAGTAATTATACAATAAAATAAATAAAAAGTATAATTATTTGCTTAATGCAAAAAGTAACCGAAAAAAGGCGAGAAAACGAGAAGAGTTTTATTAAATGTCATGCTAGCAAAATTATATATACACTACAAGAAAACACTTCAATTCCAACGAAAAATTCAAACGGCAAAAATTTCCGTTGGAAATTCCAATGAATATTCCAACAAATTTAATTTTATGTTGGAATAAGTGTTGGATGAGTTAGGAATTCCAACGGATTTTTTTCGTTGGAATAGTTGTAGGAATTTATTTTTCATAGGATTTTCCGTTGGATTTTAGCTATTCCAACGGTCGTTTTTCCCACGGATTTTTTTATACGTAGGAATATCCGTTGGAATAGCTATTCTAACGGAAAATATAAAGAGTTCCAACGGAAAATTTCCGTTGGAATGTAAGAGTTTCTTTTGTAGTGATATATATAGATGATAAATACTAATCACTATTGAGTAATTGCTTGGTTGTTCCTTAATTAGCAAGTCCAGTACAATCTTCATGTACAAATGATATGGGCCATAACAATGTTTATATATAATTGTTAAGTGTAAAAAATTATCAAAGATCAAGAAGACATTGCCAAATCTCACTTGTAAAAATTTTATTAACATTTGTGCCATACATACATATGCATAGAGGATCATACATACACTTGTACCATATCATATCTAAAGATCAAACAAAAACTCTCCAATCAGAGCCTGCTACAAACTTTTGTCATTGTCTCAAGAATCACTCTTTTTTCTGGTCCCCATTTTTCACAAGGCTCTTCACACTTTTCATCACAAACAAATATCCTATCAAGATAGAAGACTCATTGCTTGTTTTGTCTTTCTAAAGGAAATTATGGCTGAAACACACACTCCTTTGCTGATCATCTTCACATTGATGTTGCTAATCCATTTGACCTTCTCATGGAAAGCAACCCCACCATTGCCAATCTTGCCCCTGCCATCATATTCCCAGCTAAAATGGCAGCAAAGGGAGATCATAATGTTTCTTCATTTCGGCGTCAACACCTTCACGGGCTCCGAATGGGGTACCGGGCAGGAAAGCCCATCCATTTTTAACCCAACGGGCCTCGATGCCAACCAATGGGTCGATGCTGCGGCCCAAGCCGGTGTCTCGTTGATGATACTCACGGCCAAGCATCATGATGGGTTTTGCTTGTGGCCTTCAGAGTACACTGATCACTCTGTGATTAGAAGCCCTTGGAAAAATGGCCGTGGAGATGTTGTGCTAGAGTTTGTTAACACGGCCAAGGCCCGTGATATAGATGTGGGCTTGTACCTTTCGCCGTGGGACCGTCATGACCCGAGATATGGACATGTGGAGCTTTACAATGAGTACTATTTGGCTCAATTGCAAGAACTTCTCAACAGGTGAAGTTAATTGTGATTGTTTTGGTTCGTTTGAAGATCATGATGATACATTCTATAGTAACACAATATTTTTTTCACTTGCACATTTTGTTTGACTATCAAATCAAGGCTAAATATTGATATTCTTTGTATAGCTAAGCTATTTGTTTATGTATCTACACATATATCTATATAAGAGTGTGTAATTACATGTGTGTGATTAGGATATGAACTAATTTGGTGTAAGCTTGGAGCCTTGGATTTTCCAAATGGTACCCCATGGATATAGACATGGCCAGGGACCAGGGTACGTAGGCCCGGCATCGGCGTGTTAATGAACCGGACCCATGCTCCAAACGAGCTGATTTCAAGTCTTAATTTTTTTTAACCCGTCGATTACGGGCCGGAAGACGGGTCTGAGTTTTTTACCTTTTTTTTTCAAAAAAAAAATTAGCGGGCCGCGTCAAAACCTAGTTCCAGATCAAATCTGACCCGTTGGGTTGCTCGACGGTCACATTTTTGGATCGTGTCGTTGGACCATTTGACCGTTGAGATCCAATCGCCAACATTTGCCCAATCCGCATGACCTGGCGGGTCTCCGTTAAAAAAAAGAAAAAAAAAAGAAATCGAAAAATAGACTCGGAACGGAGCCTGAACTGGCATTTCGGACCGATTCAGGGTCTTCTAGCAAGTGACCCAGAACCGGGTTTTGGCCACGTCTACATGGATAGAGTAATTTGTAATCTAGGACTTTGTTGATGTGATCTTAGTGTATATTTCCTTTTGTACCCTTGTTTAGTTAGTTTCTTGGAGAAGAAGTTTATTTCTCTTGTAACCCTAATTGACTTTATATATATGTGAGGGCTGTGTACGAGACGATCAGATTTGATGTCTCGCTCAATGTATTCTTCTTCTTTCTGCTTTGTCATGGTATCTAGAGCAGGTTAAATTTTATGATTTTTTTTCTCTTGTTCTCCTGCCATGGCCAGTACAAGCACAGGTGAGATTACTGCCAGAAAAACAATCTCCCCCTATGATATTACTTCCAGCGACAACCCCGGCCTCTTAATTACTCAAATTCAATTAAAAGGAGATACCAACTATGAAGAATGGTCCCGTAGTATGCGCACCGCTCTTCGTGCACGAAAGAAGTTCGGATTTTTGGATGGTTCGATCGAGAGTCCGTCTGCCGACGATGAGTTGTTTGAAGATTGGCAAGCCAACAACTCTCTTTTGCTCTCTTGGTTCATGAACAACATCGATCCCACGCTTCGATCTTCCGTGGTGGAACCAGATTATGTCGAGGACCTCTGGTCTTCCTTGAAGGAGCGTTTCACGATGAACAATGGTCCCCGAATTCAACAACTCAAATCTGATCTTCGTCTTGTAAACAGAAGGGGATAAGTATTGAAGCCTACTATGGTAAGATTTCAAAAATTTGGGACGAATTGGCTGATTATGATAAACCCACAATGTGCAGCTGTGGTCTCTGTACCTGCAATTTTCCGGTTGCGTGGAATAGAAAACAGGAAATAGAGAGAGTCCATCAATTTCTCAAAGGATT